TGTTTCCCCTCCCTGCGGTCTCACTTTGTCCACATAAAGCCCACTCACCACTACAATAGCAAGAAAAGTGCTACTTTGCTCACATATACAGCCTAGAACAGGGCCTTGCACCCAATAGACACTCAATAAATATTTGCCAAATGAATGAATAAGTACAGGACTGGGAACTTCGCCTAGAGCAAGCAAGCAATGAATACTGGCTGCCCACAGCATCTCAGCCATCACTTTTCCCAAGAAGCCTTTGGTGGGTCTGAAGCTGCCTGCCCACTGCCCGTTGTTTCCATGTTTCCCATTATTCCCAGCACAGTCCAGCATAGACCGAGTGTGAAGTAAGAGATGGGCCCTGGTGTAGCTGGTGGATACGTAAAAGAAGGCTAATGCACAGCCCACCCTTCACCCATGGCAGCCCGCTAGGAGTGCATTGTGCATATAGAATAATTAAAAGAGAAAAGAAGGGCCAGAATGCGGGCCAGGAGCATTTCTGAGACACAAGATCAAGAAAGGAAAAGCAGACTTGGGGAACCCACTGAGGGATTTAGAGAAAGGGCTTTTCGCACATACAGAAAAGCTGGCAGGACAGGTGGTAAACCGAGGCTAACTTTATTTCTAAGACAGTTGGCCTAATATGCTCCTTAACAACAGGATAATCCCACTTCACATGCGAATTTCCCTCCCCCAGACTATTTCACTTGCTCATCAACACTTATACCATTTACTAATGCATTCGTTTCAAAAAAGGTCCTACTTTTAGAGTTTCTCTTTCTACAAGGGGGAAATTCATAAGTCCCAGGGAAGGAAAAATGTAAAATCTAGAACATTCAGCCAGATCAGCCTTTTCATTTCTGCTCTAAATAAGCTTGCCAGGTGACCTGTGTTCAGATTCACAGGTGGGTCTTCTCTTTGAGTGCAGGCCCCTTGGGAGTGCAGTGACGAGGTTCCCTTTGTGTGGTCAGGTATGTGCTTTGTACCCAAATTCAGGAGCTCTCAGAGCCCCGGCAGCCCACCCACTGCCTTCTGGGTCACATGTGAGCCCCCTGCCTTAACGTTTGCCCTGAAGCATATCCAGCAAACCCCAGACCTCAAGTTCTTTAATCTTCTTGAGCTAAAAAACACTTGGCATTTTGCAAGTGGTCATAAAACCTGGATCTTTTCAGTTCACTTCTTTCCTTTCTCACACCCTGCCTGAGCTCCTAACCAAGCGTCGTGATGCACTCAGTGGGTCACTGTGTAAGTAAGGATAACGCTAGCTGCTCTAACAGACAAAGCTCTCATCTCAAGACTTCACCTCAGACTTCACTTCTGCCCATGGAAGAGCCCAACCTAAGTGTTTCTGGAGAGCAGATGAGCCCCCAACAAGGCTCATCCAGAATGATCCAGCATCCAGGATCCTTCCAGGACAACTGCATTTTCCAGTGTACTGGGCTTATCAACAGGAATCTGGAGGAAGGAAAAAGGGCATCAGTGATCAAGCAGGAGGGGATTTTATGGATTAGGCCTTGAAGTGAGGTGCATTACTTGCATTCACAGTCTGTTGGCTAGAACCCAGTCACGTAACATTCCCCTCCCCCACCACCACCCTGTGGTGTGCTTGCTCAAGCTTCAGCTCAGCCTTCCTCCCTCCATTCAGTCTCAACATTCCATTTGTCCCAAGAACATTTCCCCTGAGATCCTGTAACCCCTGACACCCAAATAAATTCCTTTTTGCCAAGTTGCCTGCCTTTTTCATTTCCCATTTCCATCACTTGAATGCTACATGGATGATATAGTGAGGAAACAGAGCCCAAAAAACCTGCTTAGAGATCTAACCTGGAAGAGCATCCTCTATAGAAATGGCAGTTTCAAGACAGGTATCAAGGAAATTGTCCTCCCTGGTGGTCGAAGGAGTTAAGTCTCAGCACTAAGAAGCTATCAACAGCCACTGCAGCATGAGTTTTATCCCTGGCCAGGAGCTGACCCACATGGCTCAGATTTCTCCGGTCTGGCCCACTTCTCCCGTCAGCAGTGTATTTCAGTCAATCAACCTGTTCTACTTTCCACTCTGTCTCTGGTGAATCCTCTCACCCACACATACCTCTGGCCTACACCCCAACTCTGGTATGCATAAATAAATAAATACTTTAAAAAAAATATTTGGTTAGTAGGACTACAGGACTAGTCTCCATTCATCTTCCAGCTGTAAAGTCAAAGTCTTTTATGACACAAAACTCCCGTACAGAGAGCTCCAGCAATGCTTTTCAGGATAAGATAGACCTGGCCTTCCCAAATAAATGTGCTTCTCAGTTGACGCATTATCTAGAATTTCAGTGAAGTTCGCGTGCCACTGTAGTTAGAGACGGGAGAGGGGAGATGCGAAGAACAGGATATGTACAATCTACCAAGTGTACTAACACCTTTAAAAAAAATGACATTGTAGAAGATTAATATTCCATTTTATAGCCCATGTGTTTGTCTTTTCTAAGGGTTATTTGTATTAAACCAAATCAGTCCTATGTCAGATGCCTTCTGATATTTGATAACTTAAGCTCAAAAGATTCTTATTAAAGTGTAAGGATCTTAAAACAAGCCACAGAACTTCTAGGGCAACACATTGTAGCAATGGCTGTGGGGGCGGCAAGCAAGTTCCTTCCACTCGGTTCCTCCTTATGATTGTCCTTTTGCAATTTTCTCAATTTTATTTTAAACAGTTTGAAGATACATTAATGTGCCTAGTTTTGTGGGGTTTTTCTTAAGATTTATTTCTATATATAAGAACTGGGGTACAGGCCAGAGGTATGTGTGGGAGGGAGAGGACTCATTGGAGACAGAGTGGGGAGCAGAACAGGCAGATCTACTGAACTACAGGACTGAGGGGAGCAGTGGGCCAACGGGTCAGGAGAGGTCTGCTGCACCACGTGGGTCACCTCCCTGGCCAGGGATGGCACTGGTGCTACAGTGGCTACAGATCACTTCTCAGTGCTGCACTTTAACCTGTTGTGCCACCAGGGCTGGCCCCTGCTTAGTTCTTTTTAAATTAAATTTGTCTTTGTGGAACAAAGTCACAGCTGGGCATTGTTGGAAAGACATGGCTTTAGAAGAAAAACAAATACCCATGGAAAGAGAATGTGCTGCCGCCTTTTCCTTTGCAGTATTTCAGCTCTCAAGTGTGAAATAATTACAGCAAACCTCATTTGAGGCAGTGGAAAGTGATGAAAACAGATATTTTAATTCAAATACGTGGCATTTCCTTCCCTGAGAGTCTTTAAGGACACACATATCTACAACAAATGGCTTAAGGAGAAAATAGTTCTACCTGCTATATGAATGTGGCTAGAGCAGCTTCTTAAGACCCCTTTGTAACCCATAGATCCAAGAAGCAAATTATATTATGACCAACATCCTCTCCAATCTCGTTAAAACGCTTTTTAACAGATACAAAAAGTGAAAATCTCGGATAGTTTCACTTTAAACAACGGGACTCACATGAGTCCTGAATGTTATTTCAGGAGAAGTAACTTCAGCGTTTCTTTGGGTTTCTAAGTCATATGTACTCTCGGGTGATAAAATTTGAAGTTTCAGAACAGAGCAGAAGCCCAAACGTTGGGAGCCCGGTTTAACTAATGCAACACCGCCACCTAGAGGTCATATACTAAGTAGCCGAATGCTCTGCCAAACCAGGTAGGTGCAAAGCTGAAAATCTCCTGACCAGACCAGAAAAAAGCGTTTGCTCTTGCCTTCACATCAAGCCCACAATGAAAGCGTTTAAATGAACAAGGGTTTTCCTCAATATTGCAGGGAAAACTACAGGGTAGTAAAATACACCCCTTCCCATCACTACCTACAAGAACATGTGCTGAGCAAGTTCTCAAGCAACATAGAAAACAGAGACCTGATCATAGCAGTGGCAGTGGAGGGAGCAAAGTCAGGAAAAGGAGGCTGTGGTGGAAGATGTAGGCAGATTTTGGTAAGATGAATAGAATTTCTACAGACCAGATTTCAGACCAAAGCAGCAACATGTTCTACAAGCACAACTATGAAAACACACAAGTTTTACTCTACTTACACCCTACCTAAGGCTAGTATTTGACCACGGAGTACATCACCAAGATACAAGAAAATGTTTACAAAATGAAGTTATAGAAATATTTTACTGCAGAACGCTCCATGAGCAAACCCTCCGCCCTAAAGCAAGGTCATGTGACTGTTTAAGAATGTAAATTCTAGAATTGATCTGCATGGATGGACCTCAATTCTATTTCTACAAATCACAACTGATCCTCTCCGCCTCAGCTTCCCCATCTGCAAACAATAACCTATCACTTGCCTCGAGATATTGGGAAGAATGCATGAGCAAAAACATACTAACCACTTAAAAGAATTGGTAGTATTTGCTGCCCCTTCCCACCCCTACTGAAAGTTCTTTAGAACCTGTCTTTTCATTCTTTGGAGCATTTCAGGGAAGAGGCTATTTACAGAAATATGCTATGTCCACCTGCTGCCCATATCCCCTTCAGAGACTGTGGTCCTTTGGGATTTCTGAGGGAAAAACACTCAGGGGAGTACTTGAAGTCACTTTACTTGCTTAAATGAAAAATGACTATTCACTAACAATTTCTTTTGGGTAACTAGAAGGGCTTTCAGCACTTGCAAAACAGAACAGGGCAAACAGTCCTACAAAAGTCATCACACACACTGCTTTCTCCAACTACAAAACTTTTAACATCCTAATTCCATCTGTAATCATGTTCCTCCCCAATAAGCACAGAACTCAAAACTACAGAAAGCAATTTGCAGTAGCATTCTAGATTGGACATTATTATGTCTCCTTCCTGTGTACACACATGTGCATGTGTGTGTGTAAAAGTATCTGAGTGGGAGAGGTTAAACAGCTAAAACACTGTTGCAAAAGATTTTAAAAGTGCTTTATTTTTTAACCAATTGTCAACTACCTCCAAGAAAGCCTGGCAGATAAATATCAGTAAGAATGCAAAATATTTCAAATTCCTAACTTCCATGTGGTATTCTTCTAAGTTGTGTTCTTCCCTCACTTTATTTCTGTTAAACCATCTTTCGCCTTTTCTCCTTCACCACTTCAATTTAGTTGTAGGAAACAATGTAATGTGCCCAAGTACACTCACCTTGAGGTATCATCTCCAATTAGCCAATGGAGCTTGGGGCTGTGGAGAAAAGCAGGCTGCCAAGCCAGGAGACGGCCCCCCTGCCCTCATTAGATCTGAGTACGTTGGTCACACATGGGCCATTTTGCCCCTAATGCTCTGGCCCTTTCACGCTAGATATAACCTGATTTGGAGTTTTAAGTTACAAGGGCATTCTACCCATATATAACCTTTTACTCCTCTGGACTGGTATCCATGATTTGAGAAAGACAACAGTAGTAGAAAGCATTTTAAAGGGTTTTTTCCAATCTTTTTCTGTGATTTCCACTTCAGTTTTAAAATTGAATTTCTGAAATAGTTAAGATTATGAAATTAAAACTATTTCAATCTCTACTTTTCTCCCTTCTATAAACTAGTGTATATTCACCCCAATCAGATTAGACCCAACCTAACCACATAAGGATACTGACATTTAAGGGTCAATAATGAACAACACAAAAACTAGATTTATGATTAGAATAACAAGCTGGAGTCAAAAAGTTTTACCTGGTGCTCACTTAACACATCTCTTTACCCTAACCTTGGCATGGATATAATCCAGCCAAGAGCTGAATATTCCCATGTGTGAGATTTGTTGGTATCAAACACCAAAACCAAAAGCTAACTTTTAACTAGTCACACATCTCCTACCCTGAGCATAAGAAATATCTAGACCCAGGTACAAAATTCCTGCAAACAGGACAGACTCTTATGTCCTCAAACAGAGGTATGTTGGCCAAATGAGGCAGCAAAATAGATACAATGACAGAGTGGGACAACTGAACATTGCATCACCCAACCCTTGCACACCTTAGGCAAATAAAAACTGCTTTTGGAGTAAATACATTTATTGATACCCATTTTATATAATTCAATGAAATAATCTATAAATATAAAAGCATTTTTCTTTTGGATATCACCATGGTCCATGTAAATACTCAACAGTCAGAATCATCCGCAGGAAGCACTCCAAGTCACACTGTTAGGTTACAGACCTGAACACGTGTACTCCAAAAAACAGTGGCACTTATGTACTGAAGTGGTCCAGTGGCTTTGGAATAGATGACTACCGGGTATGTGAAGTAAAAATAAGTTTAAATCAACGGAACGGGTATCAATCATCAACAAAAAGAAACAACTGGGAATTAGCATAGGAGGCAAAGAAAGTACCACAGGCGACACTCGGTGTCAGAATACTGGAGAAGCATGTTTAACGACACATGTTGTGGCACCATGTGCTCTCTGCAACTCCAAATGGACAGTCCACCAGTGCCTTACGGTCATCATGTTCAACAAAACAGCAGTTCTTAAAAGAATAGCTTAGAAAAAAAGGTATGTAGCGGCTGGTATCAGGTGTGAAGAAAAGTGGACTAAGTATTTCAATGATACAATGAGTTTCTCCCATGAAAGGAAGATCCTGAGGACAACAAATTTTTCAAATTCCCTCTGTTACATGGATCATGATCATCTACCCAATGCAGGTGAAAGAACCCAGATGTCTGGTACCCAAAACATAGGTGCAAAATTTTTCTTCGGTTCTAAAGATTCTTCCTCAATACTTCAAGGGAACCAATGCAGCAGCCACTGTTGACCTTGTTCTTGACCTAATGCAGTGTAAAATCTTCCCATGTCTTCAGTAACAAAAACAGGAATATCCTGTGCTGCAGTCAGACCAGGTGTCTTCTGAGTTAGCAAGCATGTGCATTTAAAGGTCTCAGGTGTGCAATGTCCAAAAGTGAAATCCTAGAGGCAGTGTTAGAACTTAAGCAAGGCAGAATTTTTAGAGACTACTCAAATGAAAACCTAAGGGAAGCATAAAAAAAATCGGTCCTTTCTATTATTTCCATCTGGCAATTAATGGCAACAGTCCCTGGTAAGGACAGGCAAGAGGTGTTATGTCCAGGTCCAAATTATCCCAATTACTTAAAGTAGGACCTCAAAGAGGAGAAAGACACGCTTGAGTTCTGTGGTCTCTAGAATTCTTTTTTGCCATTTTTTTTAAAAAAGAAATAGTTTCAGATGCACACCACTGCTTGAAGGGTTTTCATCCGAATGAGAAATTCTCCCCCTTGTCTCTAGTGGGACAGGCACCAGTCTCCCACAAGTGACAACTCCCATGTCCTGTAGCACGTGGTATCTGACCCTGGAGTGGAGAATGAGCTGGCACAGAGCCCCAGCCACTGGGATTCAGGCTAGATGGCATTTCTCGGTGTGCCGTTGTGTGCCAACGCTTTCAGGCTGGGGGCACTGCTCTGGTGACCACAGCTCCTGTGAGAAGTCACGCCCACCTCAAAAACCTCATGGATGGCTTTTCGGAAACAGTGGAAGTTGTAGTCTATTAAACCTGAAAGAGACAAAAAGATGAGGCTGCTCAATGTCAATTCTGAGTGTATCTACTTGGAAACATCTGGTTAACAGGAAAAGAAATAACTGACAGGTAATTTTCTATATACACACACACAAATGAAGAATTCCTCCTGTAGGAAACATAATAAAGCATATACTCAAATTGCTAATACTAGTTACCCCTGGGTCCTGGGAGTGGACAGGATAAAATAAAGCAATCAGGGGTAAATTGCTAAGACAATATTATAATAAAATATAAAATCAAAGTAATTAATAAGATTTTCCTCCCGTAAGTTCTTGGGGCAGTCAATGAAAGAAACTACCAGAGCAATAGTCTGGCAACTGCTCTGGACAGCCCTAGTGTCAGGCGGGTACCTGAGAAGCCCACCAGACAGAGCCCAAGGCAGTCCGCACCCTCTTTTCAGGCAGGCAATTCCTCCTCCATCTGTTTTGTGAGCTGGCTTCAAACAAAGGGCTCTACTTTGTAAGAGAAATGGCTAATCACCCACTGAAGACCCATTTTCCCTCCTCCGCAGAAAGAAAGCCACATATTATATTCCCAGCCTTCCTGGCAGCTGGCATCACCACAGGGCCAATTCCAGCCACTGAGGTAAGTGGAAATGTGTGGGATTTCTGAGGCAGTTCCTTAAGAGGAAGAAGACACACAGTCTGCTCATCCTTGAATGCCCTGATTATAGGTAAGATGGCTGGAGCTGGAGGACCCCTTCTAAACCATGCGGTGACCTTGAGACTAGCAGTCAGCATAAGAAGGCAGAGTAGAAACACACGTGTGTATGCTCTCAAGGATCACTGGGCCATAAGACACTACCTTCTAAGAAGTAAATCAAAACAATCTAATGTCAAATTAGCTCAAATGAGAAAGAAGTCCGAAGAGGGGAGGATGAGGTCCAGGGATAAAGCAGTCAATGAAAGGATAGGCAGAACTTTGGCAGAAAAAGAGGAGCAAAACTACACACAAACAGCAGGGTGTTGCAATGAGGACATAGCACAGCCGCTAATGAGAAAGAAACTGGCCTCCCTAGAGAGAGGAAAAGATTCTTGGTAGGAAGTACTGGCAACCAAATCTGAGTAAGTAGGATAGAGTCAAATTAAGGAGGTCATGAAGACTAAAGAGGAGAGGAAAGATAAAAGAAAAGCTTGGTAAGTTTATGCATTTGACTTCTGTGCAAACAACAAAAGCTGACTATCTGTGAAACTTGAAAACTCCCAGAAATTTAATATGATTTTTTATATTTATTAATAATATCATTACATTTTTAAAAGAACACAGCACCATCTTAGAGATACCTGCTAAAATTTGTACAGAAAAATTATTTGCTGTCAGGGATTCGCTGCAAAATAAAATAGCAGGCAAGTAAGGAAAATGGTATATAGCAATGAAACAAAACTAACTGCTATTGATGCATGTTGAATTTAAGTGACAGATGACAAATGAGTTCACTAAATCATTTTCTCTACTTTTTCATGTTTGGCCCAGAAAAAAATAGTAACAACTTAGCTGAGAGGAGTATATTCAGGAAACAAGACTGTCCCTGTATCGATGACTGCTGAAGCAGAAAGATGGGCACATACCTGAATTCAAGGTATTTTTTTTTTTAAGATTTATTTATTAATGCATACAGAACTGGGGTACAGACCAGAGGTCTAGGGGGTGAGAGGATTCACCTGAGACAGAGAGGGGAGCAGAACAGCAGATTAACAAAGTACAGTGCTGAGGGGAGCAGCGGGTAGGTCAGAAGAGGTCTGCTGCACCTCCCTGGCCGGGGGTCAAACTCTTGCCGCCTTGTCTGCGGATTGCTTCATAGTGCTGTGTTTGAACCTGTTGCGCCATGAGGGAGGCCCCCCCTCATCCCCGCCCTGGGATTCACTGTATTTTTATGCATATTTTTAAATCTTAAAGAAAATCTTTTAAGATACTTCAAGATCAGAGTAAAGAAAACCACGCAAGAGTACAACAATCAGTACAAAACAGTAATCAAACAGGTAAATTACCAAAGAAAAGTTCAACAGTTATTTAAAAAGTACTTGCCATGAAAAAGATGTTGCTCTGACTAGTAATTAAAGTAAAAATTAGAACGAAATGAGATGCAACTCACATCTATCAGACTGACAATAATTAAAGTGTTCTAACATCGAGCACTGTCAAGGACATGAAGTGATAAGAACTGCTACGGGTGAAAATGGTAAAGTCTAGTGAGAGTGAAGTTGTACACCCTCTATAAATTCAACTCCTAAATATGCACACTAGAGAAATTCTCCCTATGTGCAAAGACAAAACTATGTATCGTAGGTCTAATGTCCAGCAATCAAAAAAAAAAAAGGAAAATTGCAGTATAGTCGGCCAAAAGACTATGATGTGGAAGTGAAAATGAACTAACCAGGGCTACATGTTAATATGGCTAAGTCTTTAGGAAAAAAAAAAAAAACCTTGAATTAAAAGAAATAAGTTGCAGAAGGTTACAAACATTTTTATATTGCTTACACAAAGATAAATAATATTCTGTATTGTTTAAGGATAGACATGAAGTAAAATAATAAATCATGCATGGGAAAAATTAAGCACTACATTCAGCACAGCACATAAAGGAGAAGTTTCAACTAAGAAACACAAAGAAAACAAAGATGTGGCTCTTTAACTCAAAGTTGAATATCCGTTTTTGTTTTATCCAAAATATTTTATTTATCAGGAATATTTCCTTAATATTAGCATTAATGAACTACTAATGCAGTCAGCATTAGTACTAAAATCTGAGGCAGAATTTAATAGTTAAATTAAAATTAAATTAATTAAAGCAGGATTTAATAGTTATGTGTCTGCCTTTGAATAAAAGATACATACTAAGCCCTCAATGTCTCTGCTGAAGCAAGAACAACCTCAGTAGGAGGTTATTGCAGCATCACAGACCTGGAGGATGTGGACCTGGATTGTCCAAGAGTGAAAAATAAAAGAAAATCCAAGGAACAAATAAAAGTCGGTGAAAGTTCAATAGAAAAAGAGAATGCTCTCTGAGGAACCATCTACAAGAGCCCCCTCAGCAAAAAAAAAAAAAAACAAACCATGATTACCTTGACTACCAGAAAAGTGTGAAAACTAATAACAGGCGTAGGCTAGTCAGGAGGGACATAAAACAATAGTCATCAGTTTTTGACACCACTGACAACATAACTATTAGATTTAAGTGAAGATGTCTTACTAACACTCCAACATGGGTTTGGAACACGGACCCAAATCAGAGCTGGAGCTAAGAATTTTTCAGCCAACCACATAGATTAACTGAAGCTATGGACTGGATGAGCTGCCCAGAGAATAAAAAAAGTGAGCAGAAAGATTTGACCCTGAAGAATGTTCAAAACTAAGAAAAATTCTCAAGAAATAGAGAAGGTGGTCAGAGAAACAAATAACCTGAAGTTCAGCTTCAGGGAAGCGAAGCGAGTGAGAAAGCTTCAAGAGAGGAGGATGGAGTCACATGGCTCAGAAAGCTAAGAGGCCAGTTGTTCAGGGCACTAAATGGAGCAAGGTGACCTGGTCACCTCTCAAGAACCAGTCGTTGATTCAGATGGAAGCCAAAGTGCAGTTAGGTAATTAAAACTATCAGAAATAGGAGATTATAATAATGTGGACTATTTATAGAAGAGACAAAAATAGTTTGAGCTGGTAACTGTCTAACATTGCAATACTTTTTTCAGAAGCTAAGAAATTATAACATAGAACTTGACATAAAAACAGGGAGGGCCCATTACCAGGCCCTCCCTGGTGGGGCAACAGGTGAAAGCGCAGCAACTGCAACATGAGTTCAATCCCAGGCCAGGAAGGTGACCCACATGGCGTGGCAGACCTCTCCTGACCCACCCACTGCTCCCCTTAGCAATGTACATTGTCAATCTGCCTGTTCTGCTCCCCACTCTGTCTCTGGGGAATCCTCTCACTGCCTGCACCTTTGGTCTGTACCCCAGTTCTGTATGCATAAATAAATCTTCTAAAAAATAAAATTAAATGAATAAAAATCCCATTACCTTTTCGTTCAAAACTTTCTTCCCTAAGAATGCAGACCAGTGCTAAAAATTTAGTCACTTCTTTTAAGTAAAGGACAGTTGTGTTATTCAGCTTGATAATTGCCATAGATTCTTTGTCATAAGCACTTCCACTTCCATCTTCCTTCAACCTGTTTTAAAAGAAAATATTTTTATTTTTCATTATAGGTTTCACAACTGGCTATTTTGTCCCTTTTAATCTGCACGATGACAAGCCTTTCTACCCATTTTCCTGAAGGTCTTTTGAGAAAGAACAATACTGGCTGAAATATACTGGAACAGAAGTTGTTGCTTAGCTTGAGGTACAGGACTCCTCACCTTCAGTGGAACACTGCACACATGCACACCATCATCTTATTTACTCAGGAGGCACAGAGATAGCAGGTTTGAAATCTTTCTTCATATTAATCTTTACTGATGAATCAAATTTACAATGTACAAATAAAAGTCCCAAAATATGAAAACTACCAATAGTCAAAATGGAGCAAGTTTAAAACTAAAATAAATACAAAGACACTATGGAATCCTGATGCTTAGACAGTGAACCCTACATGGACTGAAAACTATTTCATTTATTAAACGAGAATTGTTAGAATTTTATGTAGTTCCCCCTCAAAAAAAGTAAATCAAGAGTCAAGTAAGAAGCAATTTAAGCTATAATAAAACATACCAATTTACATGTCTAGACATTTTTCTCTTTATATCATACTTTGTACCCCTACACTGGAAAAAAAAAAACTAAAATTGATTTCTTTTTAAAAAATTGGTTTATAAAATTTTGATTTGCTTTAAAGAAAAGTCTTTCATCCATCTTTAAAATAAGGAACTTAACTTCACTGATTAACAGACATATCATTTTCATTATGGAAAGAATTAAAACAGGAAAGCATGTAATCACAAAGTAAAAAGTAAAGTGGATGGGAAGAAAGGATAGATAGGTAAAGAAAGGATAAGACAAATGCATTCACCTACTTGGAGACATCTGGAGAAAGACAGTGACAAATCAGGCACCAAGGCCAAGAAGAGGAAAGGGACAATGACATGAAAAAGTAGTCTAGACTACATGGAGCAGAGCAGAACAACAGATAAAGGACTCAGGTAGTAGAAGACATCTGAGGCTTCTAATGGCACATCAGAATACCCCAGGGGTGGGGGTATTAATACCCGGGGTTAGGGTCACTGGAAGCATTAGAAATTACTAACTTTTGAAATATAAGTAATTCCTCAAGGTTTTCACTCACCTGGGCTATTCTACAAAAATCTTGGCTGTTTTTTTTTTTTTTTTTTAAATAAATTTCTGTGTAGGGCTTAGTGAATTTATACCAAGGTTTAACATTTTAGAGATTTTGGAAACTTGAATGTATGGATCAAATTTTTGTATGTCTAAGTCCCTATGACATCTCAAATTCTAAGTTCCTTGTTTCTTAGTTCTTTAAATATTAAGGAGTCCCTCATTCCACAAAGCTTGAGTTTATCTTAGTAGCCAGTACTTGAGAAAATTTTAAATAAATGACTCCAGTTTTCTGAGCTAGCTAAATCCCAGAAATGAGATGATACAGTGCAAACACCCAAATAACAAGAAACTTTCACTTATCATTAACTCTGGCAATAGTCACTTTTCAAGTGCTCTTATCCATCTATGTGAAGGAACAAGACCAAGCAGTTCACTGAGAGAGAATCCATGCTTTAAGTAGAAGCACTGTGTTCAGAGCCAATTGCACTTGATATAGTACTTGCCAGATCCCTTACATTAATTAATCCCCCTGACAAATGAAACTGATAGTCTGAGGTCTTACAGAAGTATGTATAACTTACCCATATATACAAGATACATCAATTACAACATCAATCATGTCACAGCAAAGTTCATAAGACTGCATATCCACAGGAGAACTGTCTGTTGCAATGTAGATTTTGCTGACAACATCAAAGAGAAATGCTTTTTCAATACCTGAATTCTTAAAAAAACAAAATTGAGAGTTTATTTTTTTTTTAAGAATCCAAGTTTGTAACTTAATCAAAGATCTTAAAGTACTAACAAAGAAATTTTCATTATACAACTCAGTACCAAAAAGCAAATAGCACTCAGCTAAGAGAACATGTAATCCAAAGAATAAAGTGGAGTTACTGCTCTGATTTGCTGACACAATTGTACTAGTAAAATTCAGTTTTTCCTCCTCTTTACTTAAATGATTTTAAAACACTATGAAAAAAATTCTTCAAAAATCAAGCCATGCTACATTTTCAACAATCCTTCCTTATTAAAATAGTCCATCTCTAATTGGAATCCAATTACCACACTGAAGATTACTACACACTGAATTTTTTAAGTAATGCTTGGAAAACATGACTACTAAGTTTACTGACAAGAGATCCTTTTTCACTAAGCTGAGTTTTTTTTTTTTTTTTACTAAGCCAAGTCCTCAAAATAAGAATTGGAGACATGATACTACACTTAGCAAGAAAAAAAGATAAATTTTCCATTGTGACCTCCTATAGAGCAAAGACTGAATTAAATTCCCAAAATTCAGTCTTTTCCAGGTGCTCCTCTTCCTCAGGAAACAGAGATCATGAAAATAGTAATTAAAAAGATGTAAGAGGGTCTCTCTGGTGGCACCATGAGTTAAGTCCCAACACTGAATCTATTATGGTGCAGCAGACCTCTCCTGTCTCACCCACTTATCCCCTCTGTAGTGTAGTTCTGTAAATGCACCAGTTCTGCTCCCCACTGGCTCTGGTGAATACTCTCACCCCTCCACCTACACCCCTAGCACCTTTGGCCTACGCCCCAGATCTTGTATGCATAAATAAATAAAATCTTTAAAAAAAAATGGCATGATGATTTTTCATTAGGTCATTGTAATACAAAAAGGGTGAGTACTAAAGGGAAGAATTTAGAGTAACTCATGCCATTTTTTAATGTTTATAATATTTCTTTTTACATGTTAAATGTGTCATAAGTCTTTAAGCTCAATTCAAACTAACTCGAGCTACTTTAGAAGAATTTGATAACACAAATACATACACAAAAATGGAATCAGAAACTACAGTGAATTTAATAGCTCACTTACTGATATAAAGATATTTAATAGGTTTTCCAAAGTCGGCAGTTGTGGAATGAGTTTCTGTACCACCTTACTAAAGGCTTCAAATATTGAGTGGTCATAGATACTAGTCAAATAAAAGCTGAAAAACACAACATGATTTGATTAATTTGAGAAATTAGTTCAGTGACAATTATGATACATAAAACTTTAAGTATCCTAACATTTGACTTTAGTCAGCTCACCTTTTTATTTTGCCCACTACCCAGTATTCATGATGCCAAATGCAGTTTCCCCACCTCGTCTGTTGCTATCTGTCCCTTCAGTGCATTTACATGGGGCACCTGAGGTTGTTTAACCCAGGAAAGCAACTGCAAATACAGAAACTTGAATATACACTTAAAATTTGCAACTTGATCCAAAGACCTTGGTTTCTTAAGTTCACAGCTTACAAAAACCAAGATAAAAACAAAGCTCGGAGGAGATAAGAGACATTGATTACATAAGACCTATTTCAGGTCTTTACCTAAGGTATCACCTCCTCAGAAACTTCTTTCTTCTTAAAATACCTGAAGTACCTACCTAAAATAGTGCCCCTGGGCTTACTGCTTTCTACTGCCCCTCTATTTTTCTCATTAAGCACTTGAAATTACATTATACATTTATTTGTAAGTGCTTCTTAACTGTCTCAGTCAACACAATGTAAACATCATGGAGACAGACTTTGTCAGTATTGCCCACTGCCCTTAACAGGACTCATAAATTATTTTCTGTATAAACCAACACATTCAACTGATGCTTGGAATTTATGTGAACAATGTATTAAGGAGGATGGGAGCTAGGGCTTTACAGTGAGTCGAATCCAGAGGCTAAAGCAGGGTATACAGTGGAGAAGTAACAAAATACAGAGGTCTTTAAGAGTATCGATAATTCCACCTGCTTTTCTCCTCAGGGAGTATACGCTTAATTATAGTTGTAACCATAAAATTTGTAAGTATATATTATAAAGTCAGAGACACAGAACTGTGTATGTAACACTTTACAGGTAGTTTAAAATATTTTCAAGGAACCCAAGAAAATGGGACTCAAGAAGTTAGAGCCCACAGACAGGGGAGGCCAGGAAGTCTACCTCACAGGCACTAAGAAAAGAGACTATTTTAATGTTTCTCTTAGGCAAAAAGATTAGCAATGCAAAAAGGTTGATTACAACAAGGACAACCTGCAAGGCACAGAATACTTCAGTTAGCTGAGTTTCTGAAAACTGAAAATCAAATAAAACCTCATCCAGAGGTCTGGTAGTAATTAATAAAAAGCTTGAAGCAAAAGTCTACTGAGAAAAATAAAAAAGACCAAAGAAAAATTGTATTGAGGTTAACAAGGTCTAGGTCACTATAAAAATTGGGGGAAGGATTAATGTGCACCACTGGGACAGACCCTAAAAAGGGACACAGGCATGGGATAAAGAGGATCAGATGGTTCCCATGGGCCATAGGGAATACAGGACACTCGTGGTTTAAAACCCAATTAACAGTGGATTCCCAAAAGATAAGATTAAGCAATTTTATGTAGAGGCACCTTCTCTGTCTCATAAATACTGCTGAACTTCTTGAAAGCATGAGTTACTTACAAATATGTCCAACTTTTGACCTAAGCAAACTAGACATCAATGAAACTTCCACATGGTTCCTTAGAACAGTAACTGAAGATATGGGTGCCAAAGGCCCGAGGGAATAGTAGGGCTGGCACAGGGGCTGGTTTGAGCCTGCAGGGACATCTCTATATGAGAACAGGGATAAGGAAATAACTACACTTGTGTCCCTCTCTGCTTCCCCTTTAAACTGTTTATATCAAGAGAACATTTTCTTGGGTACTTTTTATTACTCATTTCTACCTACATCACACACACACTACAGGAAATACTCCCAATATACAATAAGAATGCAAGTACAAAAATCGCCCATTCCATCTAATAGGAACTCTTTAATAAAAATTTCTTAATGACATTTAATTATGAATCAGCAGTTCTTTAAAGTTAATAGCAGCCTAGGCAAATTTACAAGATAAACATACAAGTCAAACTTTAGTGATTCACAAAAGCATAAAGTATCTTTAAAAATACATAAACAGAATACATGGCATCCAGGCTTCAAAGTGTAACCTTTTCAAAAGACTCTTCCCACTGAGGAAGATACGGTCAAGACTCAAACTACAGTATTTTACAACAAATGTGACAGATATCCCTTGAACTGAGACAAGGGTGGGGTGGGGGTGGAAATGATGATGATGAAACCAAAAGAGCAATCCCAAAGCAGAGCTGTGTCATGAGGAAACAGCCTGACTCTAGTCTCTCGAGATGAATTTGCAAAGGCACCAATGGAAACATTTCACATGACTTCACCTCCAGGAAAACAGAACAAAGGGGGAAAGTTACTTCTCTTTATTATTGAGAAGTAGGCTCCCAAAACTGCTTGAATTCAACAAAAAAAGTAGGGAAAAACACCTGAGATTTGGGCAGGGTATACCAGTAACAGAAAACTGACAGAGATGGAAATACATTTACACACTTTCAGCACTCTCAGAGCAAACACACATGTTGTTACCTAAGGTGGAGTTTTTCTAGCCCAGCATCTGCAAGGTCATCATTGGCCCTTTGATGAATGTCCCTCTGTGTTTCTATTTTGTGATCATCAGACAAACCATCGACTTTGTGAATAAAAACCTCAAAATTCATGTCTGGGTTAACTTTGTAGGCTTTAGACACAGTAATGTGAAGTCTTGTTAAAGCCTCCATGTAGTCATCCTGTAAGAACAAGGTATTTTTTTAAAAAGGAATCTTACTAAAATAAGTTTTAAAAAGCCTCACACCACCTCTCCTTTCCAACCACAGAAAATGTCTTCTTAATTATTTAATTATTTACAAATATTCAAACATTCAAATACATTAACTTACATTAAATAGATGTTCATTCTCTTAAGAGAAAATTTCAACTACACGTTTATCTGGCAATTTTTAAAACTGATAACAGAAAGGGAAAAAGAAATGGACATTTCTTCCCAATTTGGGAAGCTCTGCCATTTAATAGGTATATAACTTTAAGAAGGCAGCTTAAACTCTGTGATCTCAGTTTACTCATCTGTAAAATGAGAATTATAGTACCTACCTCACAGTATTGTGAAGATTAAAATAAATTAGATCATATATGTGAAAGCACTCATTACAGAGCCTGTCACTCAGAAAGCATTCCTAATTAATGTTTAAGCTTATGGAGAGTAGCTTCTTCAGGACACGGCCAAGCCCCATTCATGTGAGTATGAGCCACGTAGTAGGGCATCAATAAATATTTATGCACTGAACTAGATTTGAACAATTAAGGAAACTATTTACATCAGTATGTACTAGTTCACGTCTCATACTCCTCACTTTATGGGCACTGATGAGAACTATTCAGTAAATGATATTACTACTGTAATGGTTAATAAAATACAGCAACACCTATTAACCACTAAAAGTCGAAAGCTGCTCATCAATAAAGATGAAAACTACATCTGATACCCTCTACCTGCACAATGGCATGCCTGCTCCCAGAGCAGTCTACAGCTCCATCTCTTCTATACTGCTAGTGAATCTACTGGCAAAGTCATAAGCTATAAAAAGAACATGACAAAGAAGATACGCAACTTTCTTTTTCTGCATCTTTTGCCACAAGAGGTGAGAAGTAAACATCATTATTCCTAACTACCTGTGCATCAATGACATAAATCAACGCTCCTGTTCCCCTGAAGATCATCTCGTAGTCAAAAGTTGGGTCAAAAAAGTCCATTTGCCCAGGAAAATCCCATATCTGGAAATTCACAAAGGAACTATTGGAAATGTCATCTTTATAAATCTTGTTGGTACTTTCCAAAAAGAGGGTCTCGTTGGGTGACATTTTATGAAACACCACCTGTTAAAAGAAGAAAATTTTATGACTGTTCAACTTTAGTACTGAAAGTTAAAAAGTCCATCCCAAATTAGCAAAGAATATGATGCTATAGCAAAAAAAGAAAAGATAAACACAGAATGCTATATATACTTACATTGGTACTCACTATCCTTTTACTTACTGAGCTAAACTCGCTTTCTGCCAGGAAGAAGACAACATATTACTTTCCATTAAGCCTACTTTGGAGCTGAAACTTTTCTACTTCCTCTGAACTATATTTAGTATTAGCACTGCCTCTCATCATCATTGATTATTCTTCTGTTAAATTTAACACTTTAAGGCAGAGGTCCAGTCAGCAAACTCTACGGTAAGATTGTAAGAGCTCATAGCTAAAACTTAAGAAAATTTATTCTTTGAAAAATTAGTGGAACACCTACTTCAGGTTCTGAGGAATAATCAGAAGTAAAAAGAACTGGACCCTCCCCTCACTGATTTTGTATTGTCTAAGAACTAAAACAAGGACACGATGCCAAATAGAAAAATGCTCAAAGAGAGAGGACAGGTTGGGTTGACAGAGAAAGACAGATCCCGGAGAAGAAAAATGGTAAAGGCAATCAAAATAATCACAATTTGTACACCCTAACAAACTAATTTGTCTCTCACTTGTCACTTTCTAGAAAAGCAAAATGAATAGTTACTCCCAAGGTTTAGTCAGCAAGTAACAAGTGAAAAGAATTTAAATCAGTTTGCTAAAAAGCTGCCATAAATGAACCCCAATTTTGTTGCAACGGAGGAAAGGATATAAGATAAATAGCACACAGTAATCTAGAATGCCTGGCTACTTTTTAAAAACACTGTGTCTAAAATAAAATCACAGATTTATTTTGGAGAGACTTTTGCAACAGAGGAAAGGGCGAAAGAGGGGTTATCGGCATCTTACTAGCAGCTCACTCTGTTGGGGGGGTGGGGGGGGGTGGCTGATGGAGATCAGCCCTTCCTCTATCCACCCCACACACACACTAAAAAGCCCGGCATGCATTCCAGACAGACCCCAAATGAAAACAAATGGGCTGACTCAGGTCTGCAAATAGTCTCAAGGTCTCAGATTTTTGTACTGCACACATGCTGGGGGGTTGTTACCAGTAATGACACTCCCCGGGCCACCGTGCTAAAAGAGGTGGTCAACAGCCCCCACTTCGCACACAGGCCACAGGAACGTGTCCTTCGCAGTAGGAGCAGCAAGAGTCGACATTAAAATGGCCAGTGACTCAGTCACAACTCTTTCTGACGCGGCTCCTACGACTCACCCTGCACACTCGGGTCACCTGAAGTGAGAGCAGCACATAAAAACCCAGCAGGGAAGCGAGTCCGTGAAGTTCTCCAAGTTGGAACCAGAGCGCACGCCCGTTTCGTAAACCGCACAGGGGCTGGGTCCCAGCGGGCGGAGGACCCGGGCGGTGCTCGAGGCGCCGGCCTCCCTCCAGCCACTTTCCCCCCTTCGACGACCACTAGGTTTCAGCGGACCTGGGCGTGGGCTCAGAGGTGGGGGTCCTCCTGCGGGCCACGCCTCGGCTCCGTTCCCCACAGAAGAGAAAGCGCCGCGGGGAGAAAGCCCTGTCCGCCAGCCCGACCGCCGCCCTCCTCCGGGCCTCCCCCGCGCCAAGGCCACGGAGCCCCCGGGGAGGGGGAGGGGAGAGGCGGCAGGGACCCGGCGCGACCCACTCACCTTCTGGATAGAGGACTTGCCGCTGCGCCGGAGCCCCATGAGCAGAATCCTCGGCTTGGAGCTGTCAGCGCCCCCCGGGCCACAGCCACCGCCGGCCCCCGCCCCAACCCCGCCGCCCGCGGCCGCCGCCTCCTCTTCC